AGTGAGACTCTGTCTCCCAAAAAAAAAAAAAAAAAAAAGAAGAACATCAGAGACTAACAACTCTTTTCTTCTTTCCTCCTTTTCTTCACAATTTTTGTTTACTGTATCCTTTCTAAATTCGGGATTTTTTATTTATATATGACCTTAGTGCTCACATTGGCCCTACAGATAGATTCACTGCTCACTGTCAGTTCTTTTGCTGTTTTCCTATTTTTCTCTTGATTTGCTGAAATTCCTTCTCCAGCAGTTCTATCAAAAGGGACTAAATGAAAAAGAATTATTGAGTTCTTGCATATTCAACCAGGTTTCTAGTCTTCATGTTTGTTCGACAGCTTTTTAGGATATAAAATTCTTAGTCCACACTTCGCAGGTGTCACTTGTCTCTAGAGTTAAGTGCCATCGTGGGAAAGTCTGAGTTAACTTCTGTTTTGTTTCCCTTTATGAATTGATGTTTTCACTTGATTGTCCAAAGTCTTCTCTATTTAGCTTTTTCCCTTTCTTTTATATTTTAAGTCTAGTTGCTTTCATAGAAGTTATCTTGTTATTGACAGATTTTTGTCATTTTCCCCAAGACATGGTGTGCCTTTTCAGTTTGTAGATTTATCTTCTTTTATTTCAGGAAAATTTTCTTGAATGATATCTTTAAATATTTATGTTCCTTTATTTCAGTTTTCTATTCTGGGATATATGATGGGTCCTTTGTAGATTTTCCAAATCTGTCATTTTCTCTGTAATCTCTTTACAGCGTTCGTTTTCATTTCCTTTTGCTCACTTTCCTCAGCCTTGTTCTCAGTGTCTTGATTGTGTTTTGAGCATCTTTGATGCTCCTCGGCCCCGCTTTCCATTTCGTCATGACTTTGAAGATGTGATGTTTTTCCCTCATTCTCTAGTTCTGTCAGCTCCGGTTTTATGTTCCCCCTGAGCTCTCGTATCTGTTTTGTTTGCTTGCTTTTTGGAGATGATTGCTTTATTAGTTTTTTTTTGAGACGAAGTCTTACTCTGTTGCTTAGGCTGGAGTACAGTGGTGTGACCTCAGCTTACTGCAACCTCCGCCTCCTGGGATCAAGCGATTCTCCCGCCTCAGCCTCTCGAGTAGCTAGAATTATAGGCCTGTGCCTCCATACCCAGCTAATTTTTGTATTTTTAGTAGAGATGGCATTTCCCCATGTTGGCTAGGCTGGTTTCGAACTCCTGACCTCAGATGATCTGCCTACCTTGGCCTCTCAAAATGCTGGGTTTATAGGCATGAGCCACAGCATCTGGCTTATGGTTTGTGTGCCTGTAATCCCAGCTACTTGGGAGGCTGAGACAGGAGAATCACTTGACCCTGGGTAGCAGAGGTTGTAGTGAGCCAAGATTACACCACTGCACTCCAGCCTGGGTGACAGAGTAAGGCCCTTTCGCCCAAAGAAAAAAAAAGAAAAGAAAAGAAAAGAAAAGATCTCTTTCAGCTCTACGATACGAAGATGTTTTCTTCTAGGTACTTTGTAGTTTTACATTTAGGTCTATGCTGCATTTTTAGTTAAACGTAGTTAATTTTGTAGTTAATTTCTGTGTGTGGTATGAGGTTGGGGATTTGGGCTTATTTTTCTATTCTCTTTGATCTGGTTTCTGGGAGCAGATGGAGGACCCACTAGCTTTTGTGCTGTGTCAAGCTATTATACAAGGCCCCATGGGCTCAGGTTTCTTTTTTTTTTTTTTTTTTTTCTAGGAAAAAAAGAGGAAAAGCTATCAGCAATACCGAGGAAACAGCAGGCTAAGGTTGGCATAGTTCTCAGTAACATCACGGCAATTCTCTGATCCCTCCCTCACCTCTTGCCTACCGTTAATCCAAAAATGTCCAACAAATAAGACAAGACCCGAAAGCACTGAAAACTTTTTCTTGCTGCCAAGTATAAAACACGGACCCGTATAGTGGCTTAAAAAAGTAAATTCCCAGGAACATTTATAGAGATGGAAAATAGGACAGTGGAATAGCAGGGGCTGGGGAGGGGAGAAGGAGAGGTGCTGTTGAACAGGTGCAGAGTTTCTGTTTGGGCTCATGGGAAAGTTCTGGAAAAGAAAGCGTTGACGGTTGCACAACACTGTGAAATTCATAATACCATTGAATGCACACTTAAAAATGGTTAAAATGGTAAATTGGGTTATCAATGTTTTACCACAGTTAAAGAGTATTTTTAAAAAAGCATAGTCCCTCTGGGGTTAGCTGTAGTCAACATCCAAATTCCCTAGTGATGAACTGAAGTATGGACCATCAGCATAAATGTAAATTAAAATTAAGTATTGCCAGGCAGGCTGGGCGCAGTGGCTCATGCCTATAATCCCAGCACTTTGGGAGGCCTAGTTGGGGAGATCACTTGAGGTCAGGAGTTCTAGACTAGCCTGGCCAATATACTGAGACCTTGTCTCTACTAAAAAAAAAATACAAAAATTAGCTGGGTGTGGTGGTGCACACCTGTAGTCCCAGCCACTCGGGAGGCTGAAGCAGGAGAACACTTGAACCTGGTGGGCAGGGTTTGAGGGGGCACGTGGAAGTTACAGTGAGCCAAGATGGCGCCACTGCACTCCAGCCTGGGTGACAGAGCGACACCCATCTGCCTCCCTCCCAAAAAATTGCCAAGCATTATGAGATTGCTTGGTCAGTATCCTAACAGTCACAAAGCAAGCAAGGGATCTTGAGAGGGGGAAAGGGAGGAGGTGGGAAGAAAGGAGGAGGACCAAGTTCCTCTGCGTGACTAAGAAACGTTATTTGGTTAAGTCTCTACCTCCACAGAGTAACTGCCTGATTCTTAAGCCTAGCAGAGTTAAATTATTCTGTAAAAAAAACAATGGCTTTATATTCAAGACCATGTTGCTTCCAACTAAATTGGCCACTCACACTGGGATACCGAGCAACGAACAGCCCACAGGAAGACATCACTCTTGACCCCTGTTTGAAACCAATAGCTATAGCAAACCGCTAATCTTGATCCAGGGCCTAGTGGAGTTTCTTTAATTAGCAAGTTTACATTCATGGAGTCTTGTGAAAATGGTTCGATAAATTACAGATAAATAAATATTTTGTACATCCAAGTATCTTCATTAATTTCCACCTGGCTACATGAGGCTCCCTCCTGTGGGCTTTCTCTCTGCGCCCTTTTGCTGTGGACAGTAGGTAGCCTGCTCATTCATCCATCCAGCCCATCAGCCAGGGGCGGCCCAGAGGGAGGAGTGGAGGGGACATGGGCCTGGAATTAGACTGAGCTGGGTGTCCCCAGCTCGGGCCACACTGCCAGGCCCTGGTTTCATTACTATGAAATGAGGGGTGGGGTCGGTATCTGGTCTCCCACCCCTACTATGAGGGGTTCCAGGGCTGTCTTCCACCCTCTGATCCTTCCCCTCTTCTGTCGCAGTCCAGAATCCCTCTTTTCTGCCTAAACGCCTCTCGTCTTCACTTGATCATCAGCAGCTGCAGAGCCACGAGCCACCGGGCTTGGCCTGGGAGATGCCGGCCCTCCACTTCCAGCGCTCTCCAGCTGGGATTTCCTCCAGAACAGTGGCAGAGAGTTTGCTCAGAGCCGTGTCCCCTCACTGGGGAGCCATGCTGAGCCAGTTACCTGGCTCCACTTTGCCCCTAGGGAGGTGAAATTGTGCCATCAAATTCCCACAACGACATTGGTTCTTCCTTAAGGATAAGGGGGCTACTGCACAGAGCCCGTGCAGCGCCAGCCCACGCTGCTCTCCCGAGGACTTGCTTTCTCTGGCCTGAGTCTGCCTGAGTCCACCGGAAGAGGCCTGCTGGCCCCCCAGTAAGCCCCTCTAGACCTTGGAGCTCTAGCTGCTCTCAGAGCTCACTTTGAAGGGAGCCTGTAAGGCAGGGGTGTCCAGTCTTTTGGTTTCCCTTGGCCACAGTGGAAGAAGAATCGTCTTGGGCCGCACATGAAATATGCTAACACTGACGATAGCTGATGAGCTAAAAAAAAAAAAAAATAACAACAAACTGATAATGTTTTAAGAAAGTTTATAAATTTGTGTTGGGCCGCATTCAGAGCCATTATGGGCTACGGGTTGGACCAGCTTACTATAATGGATCAGAGATACATACAGTCTTAAAGAAGAAACAGCTCCCAGGCCTGTGAGGCCAAGCAGGCACTCACTGAGTGCCGTGAGCAGGGGAGGGGCAGGCCTGCGCAGTGGGGTCCTCTGTGGGGCCCAGCTGTGTCTGCAGCCATCTGGAGAGCTGGGACCAGCACACCGGGGTCTGTTGGCCTCCCGGGAAAGTCTCACTTGGAGGAAGAGAGAACAGAGGTGCGAAAGAGAGGCCATGTTCATTATTCCTTCATTTATTCCCTGTTTATTGAGCTTTGACAACATGTGAGGGACTGCTTGATTGATTGACTGATTGAGTGATTAGGACGGGGTCTCATCTGGCACCCAGGCTGGAGTGCAGTGGCGCCACCTCAGCTCACTGCAACTTCTGCCTTCTGGGCTCAAGCCATCCTCCTACCTCAGCCTCCTGAGTAGCTGGAATGACAGGCCCACGCCACCACACGGGGCTACTTTTTGTCTTTTTTGTAGAGACAGGGTTTCGCTATGCTGCCAGGCTGGTCTTGAACAACTAGGCTCAAGTGATCCTCTTGCCTTCCCTTGGCCTCCCAAAATGGTGGGATTATAGGCTTCCACAGCGCCCGGCCAGAGGAACTGTTTCAGATGCTGGAATCTATGGTAACGTGCTGGAGGAAGGGAGTTTCTGAGCTCAGCGCATTTCTTATACTTGGATCTTCCCAAAGTTCCAGTGTAAGGGGCTTCAGCGGAAGAGAAGTAAGAGGAGAATGGGCTGTGTCCCTTGGCGGTAGGGCCACGGGGTGTAGCCTGAGCTTTAGCAGCATGAAGTGTCCGGACAGCCCACACCATTGCAGGGAGTTGAAGAAGAGACCCATGTCGGGGTCAGGTGACAGCACTGTGCCTGACACCTTGGAAGACCCAGGGGCTTTAGGACTGTCCGGAAAGAGGCCTGGGGTGGCAGATAAAGGGAGGATGCATTTCTGGGAGAAAGTCATCCAGTGCTTGTCACAGCTCAGTTACTCATTAATGAAAAAAAAAGGTTCTGGTTTATATATCAGCCATGTAAACTTGGCTAATGTGAGTCTTCCTTGCAAGCTACTGTGTGTGCCAGTTCTGGCTTGGCAGTGAGGTTTCTGAGATGGGTTAGCTGACAGGTAAATGCTACCTGGAAGGCCTCTTGGAGGTTAGCCAGCTGGCTTCAGTCATCAGTAGCTCAGTAAGCAAAAGGTCATGTTCAGTTCAAGTGCAAAGATTGTGAAGCTCAATGGTGAAAAGCCAGATGAATTCAAGCCACGTGAGCTTTTCTCCAGCGTTTGCAGCCTGGACTAGGGCTGGGGTCATGATGTGAGCTGGGGAGAAAGAAGAAAGAAGACCTGTGTTACATATCCACGCTCTCCGCTCTATGTGCCAAAACCAAGTGCAGCTAGGGGCTGGTCATTCCTTCATTCCAAACTGTGCCGCTTTTCCGCCACTCCTTGAGGCCTATGCTATGTGCAGGATGTTGACCTGACCTCTGTGTGGGGCAGAGAGGTGAGCTGACCCGGTTCTTGTCCTGAGGTCCTCGGGGTCTAGAGGGGGCTGAAATGGGGATGGAGAACTGAGCTGTGTGGGAGGGGGTGGACATTGGTCCTGCCAGGTTCTTACCTGTCTTCACCTGCTGTCCCTGGTGTTCCCTCTGTTCTGGGGGTAGCTGCCACGGGGCTAGCCTGTGGCAAGGCCAGGTCTCTGCCAGCAGTCAGGTCCATGCAGCAATCTGGCAGTGGAAGGAAAAGGGTTTTGGGGTCAGACACAAAATTTCCACTCTCCCTCTTCCGTGCTTTCCTTTTCTGGGCAAGTTGCTGAACTTCTCTGTGCCTTAGTTTTCTCATCTGTAAAATGGGTTCTGAGAAATGTATCTAGTAGAGCACCTCGTGCCTGATTGCTTAATTCAGGGTAACTCCTTTCCCACAAAGGGCACCCCCTCCACCCCATCTGCTTTGCTTCTCTGATGGACAACCTGATTCAGAAACCTTTTTCCACCCATGGAAGAGGTCCAGGGTAGTGAGGGCTTGCGGGCTGAGTAAAGCCAGGGAGGTGAGAACTGGGACCTTCTGTTTGCCTGATCCATACCCCCGGTCAGATTGCCACGAATGCCGCATCACATTACACAGTTCTGGGTTCCACTGTTGCTGGAAGTTTTGAGAGAATGCACAAGGAGCTAAATCAAATTAAAACAAAATTGCAATCACTGAGTTAATGACTGTGACAGTACAAATAATTCACAACCAAATTAATGTAACATTAAATCTCATCATTGTACTAATAACCTTTGCATGGCAATACAAAAACAACTGTTTGGGGGAGGAATGATTTATTACATGAGGGAACAGAGTTTCGGGAAAGTCTCAGGCCAGGCACAGTGGCTCACGCCTGTAATCCCAGCACTTTGGGAGGCCAAGGCAGGAGAACTGCTTGCGTGGAGGAGTTTGAGACCCACCTAGGCAACATGATGAGACCTGGTCTCTACAAAAAATTAAAAATTAGCCGGGCATGGCGACTCATGCCTGTAGTCCCTTGGGAGGGTCTTGAACTCCTTACCTCAGGAGATCTGCCTGCATCTGCCCGCAGCTACTTGGGAGGTTGAGGCTACAGTAGCCATGAACGTGCCATGGCACTCAATTTGGGTGACAGAGTGAAACCCTGTCTCAAGAGGCCAGGCACAATGTCCCACACCTGGTAATCCCTCTGGAAGGCCAAGGTGGGAGGATCACTTGAGCCCAGGAGTTGAGACCAGCCTGGGCAACCTAGTGAGACCCGATCTCTGAAAAAAAAAAAAAAGTCTCAGAATTGCCTTCTGGGATCTGAAAAGGGAGAGAGAGGAGCTAAGGTTTCTAAAGGGCCTATTGTGTGCCACAAGGCAGGGGTGACAGTCCTTGCCCTTGGGAAGTACTTGGCTCACATGGTAGGACAGCCGTATTTGCAGTGACTATGAAGTGAAGGGGCCTTAGGAGTCGAGGGTTATTAGGAAGGCTTCCTGGAGGCGGAGGTTTTGAGTGAGCCTGGAAGGATGAGTAGGCTTGAGTAGGATTCAGTGGATCTTGTTCTGCTTCCTTGTCTCCCTCCCTTCTGCAGCCAGCTACAGTCTGGCCCTTGTTCCTTCTTTGTCCCTCCGATGCTTTTACCAAGTGACCTTCATGTTGCCAGACCCAAAAGTGCGTCCTCAGGGCCTCGTCTTTCCTGACTCTCAGCAGCACACACTCCTGGAAACTTCC